ACACGGCTGCACCTGACTTCCAAGGGTGCAAGAACGCCCTCCTGCCCTGTGCCTGGAAGAAGACGCCCAGAGTGACTGCCGCAGCCACCGCACCTTCACGGCGGCCCTGCCTTGGGGCCGGTGGGTGTCATTTTCTAAAATGGTGAACAAGTCTTGGCAGAGTTTCCAATACTTTCTTCCCTCCCCCCATAATTCAATGTATTTTTAAAGTGTTCAAAGATAATAATATTTATACATAAAATCGAGGCCCCAAATAACCCAGTTTCCTAGTCCACTAGCCCCTCGGAAGCGTGGGCGAGGGGGCCCCGTCTGCCTACTGAAGGTTGGAATCCGATGAATTGCGACCTTTGATGAGAGGGTTGTACCGATAGGCCCGGCAGGGTGGGGTGGGGGTGGAGGGGGGTAGGGTGGGGGATGGGAGGGGGTGGGGTGAGGTGGGGTTGGAGGGGGGTGGGGGGCGGGGGAAGGCCACTGCCGGGGTGGGAGGCACTCTCACCTCCATCCAGCCGGTCGTTTTCTCCGAGGAAGCAGCGTCCTTTGCTGAGTAGAAATAATTTCCTCGAAGACCCTGCCCCTCCAAATGCGTTAACACAGGTTCAATATTTTGCTTCGAAACGCCGGGGCAGAGAAGATTTTTACAGTCGTGGGCTACCTGGGGCTGGACATCAGCCGCAGAACTGACCTGGGTGGGTGAGTGAAGGTTGCGTGGGGGTGCGGTAGGAAAGTGGCCTCTCCCTTACCTGGGATCACTGGAAGAACGGAGCGAGGGCGAGAGCGCGTGCACGCCGCAAAACAGAAACTGAGACAGAATCCAAACCATCGACCAGACGCCAAACAAGCGCGCGTGTCTGTGATGCACTTCCTGCAGCCTGTGCCGTTGTGTTTTGGTCTCCGCTTAGCCGAAGGCCTGTCCAGCCCAGAGCGCAAGTGACTGGTCCCACATGCTCAGCTCCTCCCTAGGACAGCCTGTGCACGCCCAGGCTTTTCCAGCCCTCTGGATCTCGTGGCATGGCTACGCCATGGGAACCGAGCAGGGCCATTCGGCCGGGCGCTCAGGGTCCTGGATGGGTCAGGCTGGCCTTCCTGGGGGCGGGACTCCTGTGGGTTTCCGACTGAGTGGATGGAGAGCCTGGAGTGACGTTCGCACACTCCTTCTCACACGGAGATGCACACACGCCCAGCATCTTCGGGGACACACACACACACACACACACACGGAACTCAGGTTCAGGGCGGAACCAGACACTCAGAGCCACGCCCACTGCTGCTGACACTGACCGGGCATCGGGCTGGGGGCTCAGTATTCTCAACGATTCACAGCACAGAGCGGGACCTGCCTGCTCTGCCCGACAGGGAAAAAAAAACAGATCCCAGATGGGTAAAAAAACCCCACAAACCCCACAAAATCCATAATTATAAACTGTGATAAAGATTTCCATTTCTGAAAGCACAGCAGGCAGGATATTGTGAAATGCACTCCACTCCTAATACCACCGCAATTCTGGATAAAAATCTTTAACAAACTTCAAAAATGGGTGACTGAGCCAGCAGGAAAGAAGGGGTACCCTGACCCAGCACACAACACAGCGGAGCGGTGGAAAACGGGTGGGGGTCACGAAGGACCGCGGGAGCCAGACCGGAGCTCACCCTGCAGGCAACGCAGAGGACGAAGCAGAGGAATGGGGGAAAGGAGACTTTTGAAGAGGGGTTTTCTGTATATTTATGTAAAAATTATATATAATATATCCTTATTATATTTTATATATGTATATGTTCTCATATAGTTTATATAAAAATTATATGATATATCCTCACCTATTCTATATATCTCTTCAAGTGCAATATTATATATAATATACAATATATGCATATACACATATACATACACACATATAATATATAATATATAATATATAATAATACATACATATATACATGTAAGAGTATATATAAATATATATCATATAAAATTATATGATATATATTCTTATATATTCTATATAATATCTCTTCAAGTGCAATATTTGTGTGTGTGTATATAAATCCTATAGGACCTATATATAAATCCTTATATATATATAGATAAATCCTATATAAAGCTGGAAGAGCCCAGACTAATGCACTGCTTTCTGTGTAACTTCAGTCCATGGTCCACCGCGGTGATGGGGCCCCATCTCCCTGACTCCTCAGGGCCCACCATCCCCACCCCCACATTCCGGAGCCCTCTGCTCTGTGAGCTCCCCGAGAAGGCAGGGCCAGGCCTGTCTGCTTCACCACGGCGCCCCAGAGCCGAGCCCAGGGCCTGGCACGGTGCAGGCATCGGTAAAGGTTGGTCTGGCAAATGCGGTCACGCACCACCAACGGCGAGGTAACGCTGAGATGCTCTCCCAGTGTGGGGTTGCGCCCGACACTCTTCCCCTGTCTCTGCTCATAGAAATCCCCCGCTGTCCTTGGGCCCTGAGGCCTCCTCCTCCCCATTCCCGCATGGGGCTGGGACCCCAGTGAGTCTCAGTCTGGGGCCTGGCACATGGCATTTGCTCAATAAATGTTTGGAAAATCAGTGCAGAAGAAAAGCCATGGCAGGATCACATTTTGAGCATCTTAGCCTGTATTTTCCCCCTGGGGTTTTCTCTCCTCCTGGGCTCTCTGTTTTTCAGACAGCGAGTGAAGGTTGGTCGAAGTGCGGTAGGAAAGCGGCCTTTCCCTTGAGAAAGGTATTTCTGGGCCCAAGCCCCTGCAGAGGACGCTGCCACTGCGAGCGAGAAACATGGGCCCCTTGCTTGGCTCTGCAGATGCAGAAGCTCAGGCCCTGAGAGGACCCGAGAGAAACACACCCACAAAAAAAAAGACTCGGAGAAAGTCAGGAGGCGTTCCTGCTTGCCTGGCTGGAAAATGATTTTCTGAACCGTGAGAAGAAGAGAGTTGAAAAGGAAATGGATCAGTGGGTGGGGGCTCCCAGGGAAGGAGGTTTATTCCCTGCTCCGGGCCACTGGGAGCTCAGAGAGCGCCCTCTGTGCGCTGGGGGAAGGCTCCCCTTCTGGGCATGCAGCTTGGCAACTGGACCCAGGCTGCACCCAACCCTCAGGAGCTCACTCAGCCAGGCCCCGCGGGACGCGCACGACTCGTGCAACCCCGGGGCGGCCCTGCCAAGCCCTGGAGGGGGCATGAAAGCTCAGACAGGCCCGTGGGTCTGAACAGAAGAAGCATCCCCATGGGGCGGGGGAGTCCCCAAGAGGAAGTGGCCTCGGGCAGAAGGCGCCTTGGGCGGCCTCAGAGTTTCTCTAACTCGTGATGAGGAAGGGGCAGGGTGCAGCATCCCCGAGGACACACGCCACTGGGGACAGATGACAGCGATGACCAGACTGCCCCTGGCCGGTCCGCCCTCGCCAACAGCTGGGCACGCAGAAGCCCCTTGGAATGAGCCAGAACCCCAAGGAAACGTGGAACTGGGGAGACACGTCACAGGGGCTGAGACAAAACATCCGCCGCCCAACCGCAACGGGGCTTCCAAACACAGATTCAGTCGACTTATATGTGTTTTTAAACAGTGGCATTTCATGCACGTTGAAGGCATAAACTGAGAGTTTTTCTTTAACTTGCTCCGATCAACAAATCTTTGCTGAGTGAGTGTGAGCGAACGCCAAGCAGCCAGCACTTCTCCGAGGCCTGATCTCGTGCGGCCTCACTCGACGGGCGCAGGGGTCTCCCTGACCCCTGACCAGAGGGTTGGCCTGTCAGGGAAGGGCCGGCTTCCTCTTCCTCGACGTGGAACCCTGCCCACTCACCCTGCGCAGAAGTGCCCGGTGCCTGGGGTTCCGTGGAATCCCCACAAATGCAGAGACTATTTCTCTGGGCTCCAAGATCACACAGCGCCCCTTCCTGCCCTCCCCTCCCCTTCTCTCCCACCTTCTCAGATACCCTGGAATTCCCAAAGCCCGGTGCAGACGCAGGCCGGTGCAGAGGTGCACCCATGAATGTCGTCTGGTGCTGTGGCACAGCTGGAAGATGCACCTGCTGGGACTGGAGACATGTCTGCCTTCAGCTAGCGAACTGTTCAGCAACCATAGAGCTTGGTGTGGTCTGAGGTTCGGGGCAGTGGGGTGGGGCTCACTCCAGGGGGCTGGGCCCTGGGGTGGACATTGGAGGCCAGGAGGCACCTGGGTGCTTGCCCCGGGAGCCCCTGGAAACACCTGGGATCAAGGACTTGGGGCTTCCCAGAGCTGGTGCCCTGCGTCCCGGGTGCTGTTCAAGGCCCTTGAGGCTTGGACGCCCAGATGCACTCGGACCACCAGGCCCTTTTCCACGGCCCCTGTGCACGCTCCCCTCTCCGGCCTGCTCTCTGGCTGCCTCGGTCACATGCCAATCACGCCAATGTTTTATTCTGGGTCCTTGAAGTAATGCTTAGACACCCTGCCCGAGCGCTTGGCCTTTGTAGATATGGGTTTGTCTCTTGGCTTGTGTTTGCAAGTTACTCCCCTGTGTCTGTCCTTTCTCCATGGCCAGAAGGTCAGCACTTGTCCCTGGCTGGTCGCCTAGCTGTCTCCCCAGCTGCAGTCCCCCCCCACTCCGCACCACTCCTGCCTTCCAGGCCATCATTTGAACCCAAACTCTCGCCACTTCTAGCTGGTGTCCTTGGCATGTTACTTAGGTGGTTGCGACCACCTGACCGTCTTCCCCTGGTTCTGTCCCCGCTCCTGGCGCCGATCACTCCATGTGACAAAGGTCTGTTGACCTGCCCACTTTCCTCACCAGACGAGGCTCTGTCCCCCATTCCCAGTGCCCAGCATTGTCCCTGCCACAGAGCAGTGGCCTAAGGAAGGCAATTCCCTGACCTGGCTCCCCTCCTGCCCTCCACACCTCCTCCCTGCTTCCTCTTCTCCCCCCTCCTCCCCACAAGGCCCTCGGCAGTGTCCTGGATTCCATTGCCTGCCTTCCCGCCATGCCTCCCTTGACGTCCCCTTCACTTGCTCTCAGGGATGAAAAGCTCTGGGCAGAGGCTGTGAGGTTACAGAGTCTTTTATTAAAACCAAGTGAGTCACTCCATCAGCTGAGAAGGCACACTTCTGCTCCAGACACCCCGCGTCTCCTTTGGGCTGGGTATGGTGGCTCCCCGTGCCTCAGACCTCCTTCTCATCGCAAACACACGTTCTGCCATCCTCAAGGGGCAGGGAGGTGGGCCGGAGAATTATGGTGGCTGGGACTTAGCTTACAGCTTGGATGTGGGGTTAGAGGTGAGGGTGCAGGTGTGGGTCCATTTGGAGGTTGGGAGGAATTGGGTGGGGACTTAGGTGAGAGGAGATTTAAGTATGACCCACATTCTGCAGGCCACAGTGAGCGGAGGGCCACGCTCCTCCCTGTTCCCAAGGTGATGACCCTCCACAGGGAGCCCTGCCCCAGGCCTGTGAAGCCACCTTGACCATCCTGCTCCCCAGCCCCTCCCTTCTTCCGCCACCTCTCACACACAAAGCACTCAGAAGCAAACTCTACACAGCTATGTGAGCTTCAGGCCCCGCCCTCCTCTGCACCTGGGCCCAGGTGGGTGGGGGTGGGAGCTTTGGGGGGCTTAGCCCTGGAACCCCAGCTCCTTGTACTTGGCAGCGATGTCGTTCCGGAAAAGTTCCAAGGCCTTCTTCATGGCTCCCTGGGCATCGGCGCCGAAGTCCCCGGAGTGCTTGCTCTGCAGAACCTGGATGATGGCTTCGGAGATGAACTGCAGGGAGGGGCGAGAAGGGGCAGGTCACTGGGCCGGCACCTGCTGATGGGCAGGCCGGAATCAGTCACCGAGTGCCACCTCCTCTTTCTTCCAGGGCTGTTTATCGAGCACCCACTGTACTCTAGGCACTGCTGGGTGGTCTTCATAGTTTAACTCCTCTAATCCCCGTGACCCGAGAGACAGGGACAGGTGGGGAAACTGAGGCCCAACTCGCTACAGATGAGGAAAGGTTAAGCTGCGTGCCCAAGGTCCCGCAGCCAGGTGGGCCAGCTCACCCACTACCCTCCTCCCCTGGCGCTCAGGACAAGGGCCCCTGCACCCCAGCCAGGCGGGAGCTGGGGTGCCACCGCCAGGGGTGCAGGGAGGAAGAGCAATGCTCGCACCCATGATTTTACCCAGCATGTGCAGTCAGGAAGCCTAGACAGAAACGTGTATTTCTTCCCCTTGCATGTATGTGATTTTTGCATTGATGGCTTAGTGAGGCCATCGCTCTAAATAGTCTATGACGGTGCGGGGTGCAGGGCATCACGTTTTCTGCTGCAAGCACAGCCTTGGAGCTCAAAAACATGGGTGGGAGGGAAGCAGCGAGAGGAGGGGGAGAGGGACGGGGCGGCGCTCACCCCGGGAAGGTAACGTGGCACGTCGCCCTGACCACTGCCTCGTCTTTACGTGCGCACGTCCGCACCCGGAAGTGCAGGTGGGAAACCTACAGCGCGGGGCTGCTTTAGGTTGGTGGGTCTCTGGACGGAAAATGCTCCTGCGCTTTTTCAGCGGTTAATCAAGATTCAATGCCAGCCGCGGCGCTGGCCAGTGGGCCCAGTGGGGTCGTTGACAGAGGAGAGAGGCCCAGCGGAGGTCACGTGGCAAGGGGGCGGCAGAGCCGGAGCTTGCACCCGGGGGTTGTGGGCAGCCCACCACGGAGCCAGGTCAGAGACCGGCCGCAATGCGGTCGGGTTTTCCCGTTTTCTCAGGGCCCCGGGGGTGCAAGTGACTGAAGCAGGGGGAGAAGGACTGTGGGCTGAAGGAGACCCCAAGGGGCAGAACTCTCAGTAAAGACCACTCTGCTCAAAAGCCACAAACACCTACCTCCGGCCCTTGATTTGGGTTCATATATCAAGTTCACCTTTAATGTCACAGCTGCGACAAAATGAAGTGGGGGTACAGATGCCGTGGAGCAAACCCTGCCTTGGAGAACTTGGGGGACCCAAGTCCCAGGCTAGGCTCTGCCCTGGCCCACCCCCGGGCGTGACTTCACCTGTAAAATGGGGGCTTCGATGACCCCATCAAGCACCCCAAGCCAGCCTTTCCTGTCTGTGGCAGAGCCACTGGTGTCTAGAAAATCGTGGGATGGGGGAGCTGGACAAATGAGAAAAGACAGTCGCCCTTAGCCCCGGCACCCTCGGTGGCCCCCTCACTCCCAGGTGGGAAGGAGCTATTTTGTGTGAAGAGCAGGGAGGAGCACCTCAGTGAGGGGGCGTGTTCGGCGGGGGTGGGGGGGGCGGCTCTGTCCTGAATGCAGTACATGATGTGTTTCCCTCGGTCGATCCCTTGTCCACTCGCTGGTGGCGCTGCCCTGCCTACGTGGCTGTCTCTCTCAGCCTCGGTTTCCCTTTCCCAGAGAGGGGGGCGGTCACCCCAGTCACACTGTGAGCCCACCCCACGCCCCGGGGTTCAGCAGTGGGAGAGAGCCTGGCGCTGCCCTTGAGGAGCCCGGTCTGAGCCAGAAGGCAGCGGGGTGAAGAAATAAATCACGGCACAGCGGGGCAGAAACGATGCGGTAGGATGAGGACCGAGTGCCTCTGCTGGGGGCAGGGCCAGCGGGCTGGGAGCAGCTGCCTGCCTCCTGTGGAGGAGGTGGCTTCTGGGAGGAGCCTTGGGCGGTGCACAGGGATTTGCCCAGAGATGATGGGGAGGGCAGGGGCTGCAGCCAGCGCAGATCTCAGCTGGCAGGACTGCCCCTCACGTCCGTGATGCTGAGCGGGTTGGGCAGGCAGGACTGTGTGTGACTGGGTGGCGGGGGCCGGCAGGGGCTCAGGGAGGAGAGGCTGAAGAGGGTGGTGGTGCTCTTGATGGGGGACATTGTGTCACGGGGATTAGGAGCTTGGGCTCCAGAGCACCACAGGCCAAACTGGACCTCCTGGCTTATGAGTTGCGTGGCCTCAGGCAAGCTGCTTAATTTAGCTGAGCCCTCAGTTTCCAAATCTGTAACATGGGGATACAAAAGGTACCTGCCTGGGGCAGAGATTGCTGATTGCCTGCCTAACGGCCATTTTGTCCTTCTTCCCTGGTAACAGAAGGTTAATGTATTTGGAATGGCAATAGACTGCATTTCCCAGCTTCCCATGCAGATAGATGTGGTCTTATAAACACCGAACAATGAGGTGTATACAAAATTGTGGGATGAGATTTGGCTCCTTAAACTCCTTAAAAGAGAGCCTTCCTCTCTTCCTCCTGCTCCCTCTTTGGAGTATGGGCTAGATGGCTGGAGCTCTAGCAACCATCTTGGACTATGAGTCAACTTTGGAAAGCAGAACAGAGGGAATCCGTATCTCTAGGGCTCCCATTCCAGGCCTGGACTCCCTACCTCTGATCTTCTTTCGTGTCAAAGGAAAAGAAGACACTGAATGCAAGTCCTACCCTCTTTGGGGTAATTGGGAGAATTCCATGCAGCGAGCTGGACACATTCTACCACCATTACCCTTATCCTCTTCGCCGCCCCAGCCTGCCTGCCACTGCCTCCCACCCCCACACCTGAGCCCCAGCAGCTGCGCTCCGGCCACATGAGTCCCGTCTGTCTCAGACCCCCAGTGACACAGGGGCTGGGGTTCTGCAGGAATATAGACCTCATGTGAATCCCAGCTCTGCCATTTGCTACCTCTGTGACCCTGCACAAGCTACTCCACCTCTGTGTGCCTCAGTTTCCTCATCTGTCCAGTGGGTATGATAATAGTACCTACCTGTGGGGAGAATGCAGGTTGTACACCCAGTACCCACTCTCCCCTCCCTCCTTGGTAATGACATACTGACTTGGGAGAGAAATCCATGTGTCATCTCAGTGACCCCAGGAGGGGACAAAGCCCCCTTCACAGATGAGGAGACCGGAGCACAAAGAGCGGTGACATAGGTCACCCAGGAAGTTAGTGGCTGAGCTGGGACTTGAACCCCAACCCCCTCCCTTTGAGGCCTCCCCTGCCTCCCTCCTGCCGGCCCCTGGCCCTGCTCCCACCTCCAGGTACTTGACAGGGATCTTGTGCTTGGTGGCGTGCGATTGGGCCAGGGGCTTCAGCTCGGCCTCGTGCTGCCCCTTCTTCTTGAGGATGCCACCCAGGGCAGTGAGCACGGTGGCGCCATGCTTCTTCAGGTCCTCGGAGGCCTTCATCTCGTCCACCGACTTCAGGTTCTTGAACTTGTCAAACTTCTCCAGGGTCTCGGGGTGATCCTTAAAGAGACTGTGGGCACAAGGAGGGCTGTGGTCAGGCACGGGAGCGCGAGGTGGGGTCTGGAGCTGGCCAGACTTGAGTTCGAATCCGGACTCCCTCACTCCCCCGAGCTGTGTGACCTTGGGCCGTTCTCTTCGCCTGTCTGAGCCTCTGCTGTCTCGTGCGGGGGATGGGTCCCTGGTCCCTGCCTATGGAAGTGCTGTGTGGAGTGAGGTCATACACACTGAGTGCCACATAATAAGTGTTGCATAAATGCTTGCTATTTTTTAATTACTATTTTTTTAATTAAATTTATTGGGGTGACCTTGGTTGGTAAGATGGTGTAGGTTTCAGGTCTATTGCTATTTTTTATCATTGCTGTCTTCCTCACTGTTTGGTGAGAGGCAGGAAGGGAAGGCGTCACAGTGTCGCCCCCTGGCCTCACCCAGGTTTTCTCTAAGTCGGTTGGAGAGTAGATGTCTGAGCAGCACCAAGGGAGGAGCAGAGGTGGGGGCCGAAGGACCCTGGGCTTGTTGAGCACTGGCCCCATGCCCGGCCCCGTGCTAGGCTCTGTGTTTCCCTCGGGGCCGGGGCCGTCTTGTCCCCGTGTCACAGCGAGGGAGCAGCCGCTCCGAGGCGTGAGGTGCTAGTTCAGTATGACAGGGCTGGTGTGCGGAGGAGCCAGACGGGAATCGGGTCTGAGTGTGTGAAAATGCAGTCTGTGCCGGGGACCTTCTCTGCGTGTCCTGCCAGGGATCACTGGGGCTGCTTGGATACTCCTAGCTACGGGAGGCTCCCTACCCGCTGTGAGAGCCGTTCCACGCCAGAGCAGCTCTCAGGCTCAGAAAGCTCCACGTTATTTTGAGTCCAAGCCGGACTCCCTGCACCTCCCATGCCCCTCACAGTGCAGATGGCGGCAGGAGCTGCCAGCCAAAGGCCAGGCCCTCGCTCCTGCTGGGGCCCTGCGAGCTGGCCACAGAGGGTTCTGCCGTGATCCCGGGCCCGCACCTCCAGCCCGGGGCCTCAGTCTCCCCTGTGGGTGTCGGTTACAGGGGTCATCGCTGGCTCTGGGTGGGGGTGAATTTCCTCCGTTTCACTCATGGGCCAACGGAAGGCCACAGCGGTGGGTGACTAGCCCAGGGTTGCATGGCCAGTCGGTGGCAGAGCCAGATCCAAACCCAACAGCAGATGTGTCCATTACTCTCTCTCTCCCTGGGATGCACTCTGGATGTTTGCAGGAGCAGCCCTGTCTGTCCAGGCTTTCTCCCCTCCTGTCTGATGGCTTCAGTTCCTTGATAGGTTCCTCTTTTGTAGCTTTCTGGTTCTGCGACACCCTTGAACCTGACTGTGGAGACACTCCAGTGTGCACCGGTATCTTCCAGCACACACCTGTACCCACGTGCACGCACATGCGGACGTGCACGCACAGCATGCACCACACAGCACGGACAGAGAGTACGCCTCCCCACCCCCAGGAGCTATTCTGCCCGCGGCAACCCCCAACCCCCACCCTGTTGTCTTTCCCAGAAAGCTCGGGGCTGTCCACAGCTGTGGCCAATGTCACCACCTCACCCCGGGGCCCAGGCCAAGCCTTGTGTGTCACTGACAGCTCATCTCTGGCACCTTTCACCCAAGGGTCCCTACATAGCTCCTGGCTATTATTATCTGGCGACAGTGATCCTGGAACTCCCGCCTGACAGAAGCAAGGCCGGGCACCCATGGGTGGAAGCCCGACGCCAGGGCAGTGGAAGGAGACTGTTGGGGGCAGAACGCGGGGCTGAGGACCTGGGGCCCAAAGGGGCCAGAGATCTCAGACACTCCGGGAGCCCCCCCAAAGTCCCGGAGAAGGAACATGGGACTGAGAGTTCCAGAGGCTGAGTTCTGGCCCCAATGCACTGTGGGACTTGAAAGAAGCCGCTCAACCTCTCTGAGTCTTGGTCGACCCACCTGTCAGCCATGGTTGGTCTCGCTGATTTCTCAGCCAGCAAACTCTAAGGCCTGACGCCCGCCTCACCCTCTACTCTAAGCCCCTGTCAGCCACAGAGGGAGCCCAGGTTTACTTGGAACAGTTCAGGAGCATGCATCTGACCGGGGCCCCCCAGAATGTTCAGGCACCTCGCAGCCACCTCCCTCCCTCGGCCTCAAGTCCCGCAGCTGCAGCTCCACCCAGAGCAGCCACAGCAGGCTGTGCCCAGACTTGCCTGACAGCAGCACCCCCAAAGTGAGCTGACATAGCCCCTCGCCCTGAGGAAATGGGTGGGGCCACCTTCTCCAGTGTTTCAGAAACGTCCCCTGGCCTGGTGTTTTCATCTTCACATCTGTCCGTGGCCTGCCTTGTCCATCACAGGCCCGCAGGCAAGTCAGAGAGAAGGGAGGGCCGCTCCCAGCTGCCTGCTGAACTGACCCAGGTCGGATGCCCCCCGCCCCCGCCAGAAGATGGAGGTCTCTCTCGGGGCTGCAGAACTCCCGCTCTGCTCCAGAGCCAAAGGGCCACAGCAGGGATGGGAACTCCTCACTAATGCGCCCAGGCGGGGGGCCAGGACAGCGGAGCGGGGCAGGGGCCAGACGTGCTGGAGCCACGCTGCCTGGACTGCAGTTCCGGCTGTGTGACTTCAGACAAGTTACTTAACCTCTCTGTTAAAAACAATGTATACCTCAGAAAGTTGTTGTGAGGCTTAAGTGGGTTAGTATGTGTGAAATACTTAACACAGTGCCCAGCAACCAGTGCGTACCGGTTGAATATTTGCTGTCCTTCCTCCTCCTCATTTTTGCCCCCACCATCTCCTCCACCCTCGTCACCATCCTCCTCCTCATCATCACCATCACCCCCACCTGCATCGTCCCCATCACTGCCTCTGGCACAGCAGCAGTATGATTGTCAGGGTCAGGAATTGGCGGTTCCGCCCGTGGCTGCCATTGGCTGTCTCGGGCTCCCGGGCCATGTTTGCTCCCTGCGAGGAGAACTGGGGCCACCGGCCGTGGCTCTCAAATCTTTCATGACTTCAAAATCCTCTGCTCCAGCGCAAAGAGGAACAAAGCAGGGGAAATGTGGGCCAGAGACGGGAAGGCAGGGCCCGGAGCTCCCTCAGCAGCCCCCTTCATCCCGAACCCCCACTCCCGGAACCAGAGTCTTCCAACGCCCTTCCAGCTTCTGCATTCTAGAACTTTACGACCAGCCTTCAGCCTTTTATTAACAGACTCGGCTGGACTGCGGCGCCCTCTTTTATGATCAGAGGCACAGGAGAAGTGACCCTTCCAGGTTCATTGTCTGGAGCAGAACCAAGAGGCCAGGTCACACGGGGACGTTGGCAGGCCTAGGGGTAAGCCTCCTCTCCCCTCCCCCTCCCCCACCCCAAACACTGGGAGGCAGGGCCAGCTGTCATGGTCTCTGCATGTCCTGCAGCCCAAGATGTGATAGGGCATCAGGCCCTCTGGAGCTTTAAGGGGCCACCAGCCTTAGACGTGACATCTTGTCCCTGGCATCTGGCCCGTGGCAGGACTCTCTGATCCACCCTGGGAAGGGAGAACGCACTCCCTCAAGCTTCCTTCAAGGCATCCAGTTGCTGCCTTGGGGCTGGCGGCCCCGGGTCACCTTGGGAGGACTCCTGCCCTGCAGCCTGGCCTCCCACCTGACTACCCTGCCTCCCCTCCAGGAGCAGGGGGACCACGGACGTGGAGAAGGCCAGGGCAGGTGGGCAGGAAGGATCTCAGGGACCACAGCCAAATCCCCTTTGCTCTACCAAAAGGGAAATAGGACCCAGAAAGGACTGGTGACTTGTCCAAGGTCACATGGCAAACTGGTGGCTGAAGGGTTGATGTCAACTTGGCAGGGGGAGCCTTTTGTCCAGGGGGAACCTGCAGACGGGACCTGCTGCAGCCCCAGCAGCCAGACAACAGAGACAGGAGGAGAAGGATGTGAGAAATAACCCTGAGTTGCGTCAGCAGAGAACTCCCTCTCCTGTCCTTCCTCTGGCGCTCCTGGTGCGAGCCGCCAAGGGCGCCAGCTCCCGGTAGCGGAGCTTCCAGGGCCCACCGTTCTCCCCGGCGTGGGAGCTGGAGATGGGGAAGCCTGGGGCCAGACTGCAAGGGCCCCTGAGTGGAGAGGGGACCCTGCCCTGGCTCAGAAAGGAGACGTTCACCTGTAAATTAAAGCACAGAGGACAATCCGTTCGCTCATGGCAACCCCGCGGCCCCTTCCTCCTGGTGCAGGAATGTTGATTTACACCACACTGGGTGTTTGACCTGGGCCATCCCGGAGCAGGGGACAAGGGGCCAGATGACATGGGGAGTGGATCACCGTTTGGGGCAGAGGGCCATGGGAAGATGAGATTCTGTGCACAGGCCACCAGCCACCCTCTATTACAAAACTTGGGCTCCCTCCCCCCTGTGGTTTATTCTGGAACCCCTCGCTGTAGAAGACAAGACAGGTTTGGAGACCACAGCGCCCTGAGCTCCCAGAATCAGACATGCTCCATGTCACCTGTCTTCTAATTATAACACTTTAAAGGTCCCCGGGCTGGGCCTTGTCCACAACAGTTCCTAACTTCTTCAGAGCTCTACGTGCCGGGAGCTGTGCCGGGCCCCTGACCTGCACCATCTCATTTCACTCTCCCTTCTACTCTGTCATTAGCAGATGTCAGCATCTCCCCGCCTGCGCAGGGGGAGAGATCAAGGCTCAGAGAGGTTGAGGACCTTCCCTTGGCTCACACAGCTGCTCAGTGCAAAGCCGGGTCTAGAGCTACAGTCTCATCTGGAAGGCCGGACCTTGGCTGTGATACTTTATACACTTTAATGGACTTGTGACTCTGGGGACATCTGTCCCCTCTCAGGTCCTTGCTGTCCTCATCCAATAAGTGAGGCAGCTGGATGAGATCTCTCAGGGCCGTCGTTAACTCTGACCATCTACAGTTCCCCTTGGGGGGGCTCTAGGCATTCAGGTTTGCCCATCGAGCATCTCACGGGTGTGAGATGCACCCCCTCTCCTTTTCTGATTCTAATCCCTGGCAATTAGTAAGAACAAGGGAGAACCAAATGGGTGTTTTCACGAGCCCGGTAAGAGAGCCAACTGGTCAACCCCAGGACCACCGTTCCGTTTTGCTGTCATACATCCTTGGTCTTTGGGAGGCAGGTGACAGGGCAATGGAATCGCTTCCTTTTACCTGATGAGGACCTCTTGCCCGTGGCCTGGGATGTCAGTCTCCACCTTCCCCCAGATATTCAGCACGGCCTGCCACTCCCCATCGCTGAGCCCCATGGCGTCGTCTGAAGAAGACAGAAAGAGCAGGTGCGGGCTGACTGAGTGTCCCGGCCCTGACAGCTGGGGTCTGAGGCCGCCTGGCCCCGAAGGGCTTTTATACCTTCCCCGATCTGGACACAGATCACTTGACAGCTTGCTTACTGCCCCCCCTCCCACCCCCGCCTTCTCAGAGGGGTCTAATCTTTTTCTTTCTCTAGCCCTTACATGGAAGCTATTTTGGGGCAGGTGCCATTGTAGGGCGGTAGGACAACTCAGGCCACTTGGGGGCGGGGGTGGTTGTGCGTGCGGACAGAGCAGGGAGGAGGCTGGGCCGCTGTCTGGACTCTCGGCAGCCAGCAGAAAGGGCACCACCAAGGCCGACGCCAGCAGCCTGAAACCCAACTCTCTCTGCCGTCAGCGACCCGGAGAGGAGCCATCCTGTCTCTAAGCTCAGGCAGCAGGGGCCCAGGCCAGCCCTGGGGCAATCCTGGCCCATACCGGCCTCCCTGTCCACACTCTTCCCACTTTGCCAGAGTGCCCCTCGCCCAGCCAGAAGTGGCAGGAAGTGGCCTGGAGGGTTTTATTACACTCATGACCGGCAAACCCAAGCAAATCCATGACCTCTTGGAGTCTGGCTTTTTCTCACTCCACCCAGAAAACTGGCTTCCTGGCCTTGCTCAAATTTTTCCCTCTGAAAAGTTTTGCTTGACGTACTCCCTCTAGGCACCTCCATGTTATCTGTCTGTGGTCCTTTCGTATCGCTCACCCCCCTGCATCGGATTTCTTCATTTCCATTTGGGCTCCTCCGTTAGTACTCGGAGACTGTGCTGGGTACCAGACCCTACTCTGTGCACTTTACTTCCAGTGACTCATCATGATGGATATTGACATCATCCCCGTTTCACTGAGGGGAAGTTAGCAAAACTTGCCACGGTCACACAGCTCGTCAGTGGAGCTAGAATTTGAACCCGGGAACAGAGCCCCGGAGCACCTTACTTTGATGTTCAAGTGGGCGAGGGCTCTGTTTTATTCATCTGTGTATCTCTTGGACCTCACACAGCATCTCGTACCACTCTTGGATTGAAAAAGTGTTTGTTGAATAAAAAGATGGGTGGCCTTGCAAGGAAGGCCAGTGAAGACGACTGGCTCCTGGGCGTATTCAGTCCATCCATCGTCATCCATCATCTGTCCTTCCGTGATCCGTCCTTCCACCTACTCACCCATCCACTCATCCATCCTTCATCCCTCACCTGTCCACTGACCCATCAGTTCATTTATCTGCCTTCCATCTGCCCACCCACTCAGTGGTTACAGAGTACCAACCGTGTGTCAGAAACGGTTCCATGTGCGGAGGACAACAAAATCAAATAAAGCACACCTCTGTGTTCAAGAAACACCCAGTGTCCTTGGGGAGACAAGGAAGAGGCATGAAATCACGGTACAGTTTGTCTAGTGCTAGGATCAGGGCGTGCACAAGCCCTTGCGTCCATGGACACAGGCTTTCACCGTTTGCAAAGTGCACCCGTGGGCGGGGGTGCCCCGAATCTCCACAGTGGCCCTGTGAGGTAGCGAGCATCACCCCATTCTGCAGCTGCAGACAACGAGGCTCAGGAAGAATGAGCAAGCATATGCCGACTGCCCCGGGTCAGTGCTGGACATATCCGTTATGACTACCCTACGTGTATAGCGCTTTCTAAAAGTGACTGTCCTGCCCCAGCCCCTGCCGAGGGGCAGGCATAGCGGTCATGTTCTTCCTGCAACTTCCTGCCTGACTCAGCTGTTTGGACTGGAGCTGGCACCTGGCCTGGGGCCACCAAGTCAGGGCTCTGCCCCACAGCCAAGGTCTATTAACTGCGTCCATCAGGTCCCCTCTGTGAAATGTGAACAGGGACACCGGGAAAGACTTGACTGGGCGGTAGGACATGCAGCGTCAAAGAGAGGCAGTTTCGTGACCAGCACTGAGTTAAGAACCCCGCACCTGCAGCCGCTCCCTGCAACCTTGGGTCTGGAACGCCCTCCGCGCTGGCCTGTTACCTCCACGCCGGGCCCAGTTACCACTGGAGGATTACCGGGAGCTGCTGCGTGTTGTGTGACTCCTCACTCCGGTGTATCCTTTCAATGAGCCATTTTGTTTATTGAGTCAGCTGGTTCCTACGACCAGAAGAGTCAGGCGCCCGACCCTGACGGTGTGCTCAGAGGTCACGCATGAGTCTTCGCCCGGGACGCCGAGCTGGGTGGCCTGCAGGAGCTCTCCAGCTTCAGCAGTGGAAGTTGCAGTAGCAAAATGAGAAGCTAAAACTGCCATAGGGACTTTCCAGGGAGCTATCACTCATTCACTTGTTCATTTGTTTGTTCATTTGTTCGTTCATTCATTCATTCATTCAAAAGCCAGGAACTCAGGGCCCGCTCTGTGCCAGGCCCAGGATCAAAAGGAAAGGCGGCTCTGAGGGGGTCTGCTCGGACCCTCCGCAGCTTCAGCCCTTGCTTCTGGTCACTTGCCGGAGGGTGAGCCCAGCTGGGTGGCGGGGCAGGACAGGGCAGGGCCGATTAGTACCCCACCTGGCTGTCGGGGGGCAAGATTTGGAGGTTGGTAAGCGGCAGAGCTGAAGACCGAACTCGAATCGACAGCTTTCCTCCCGTCTCCAGCCCCTGAGCTGTCTGGGGACAGCCTGGGCATTTAAAATCTCATCAACTCATTAGCGATGCTAAAGTGTTTAATATGAAGCTGTCAGCCCTTGGCAGGCACCCGCATTAACGGGCACACGCATGGAAACCTGTGGCTTTGAAGTGGATGAACCCTCTGAGTTTTCCCATTTAAGCTAACAGGCAGGCACCGACATCTGTTTGCACTTACACATCTCTACAACAGAACAGGCGTTGCCCCACGGTTGCCATGGCTACCTGGAGTCGCCAGCTCTGTTTGGGGGCTATAATTATCCTCTGACAGCCTTCAAGTGGCCAGAGCAGGGAAGCTGGAGGCGGAGGAAGTAGGAAAGCTGAGCTGCCTTTGCGCGCACGGCCTTCCGCAGCCTTGCACGCTCATGTCACACACGTACACGCACAGGTGGGTTAGTCTGACACCCAGTGGGGCAAATGGATCCCACCAGCTCAGACCCCCCTTCTCTTTTTCTGTCTCATGGCACAGACTCCCCTGAATGTGAAACTCTGAGAGTGGCAGGATCATCCTCAGGCCTGCAAATTCGGGAGTCTCGAGACCCCCGAGTTAGAAGTCGAGAGTGCCACAGTCTTCACCGTTCACCACTCTGGATACTTGGGTTCTAGATTCCAGAACCACAGAAAGGTAGAGCTCGAGAAGTCTGGATTTATAGGGCCACGGTGTTCTGGAGCTTACGGGGGCCTTCCACGGCATCTCGCCCAAGTTTCCACTAAGGGCAGCATCTTCCTGTACATCCTCATGGAGCAGCGGCTGGAATGCTCCCAGGAGCCGTGAGCTCACTACCTGCAGCTTTAGAGTCTGCTTTAGACTGAACTGAAATATGCCTTCTTGTCCTGCTCACTCCCTGGTCCCGGCTCTGCTGGCCCCTGGGGATGTGGAGGACCGGCCGGGCCCCTCTCACGAGGGAAGCTGCAGCTTCACCTAAGCCTTTCCTCGTCCAGACTCAACACCCCCGGGACTCCGGCTGAACGCCCGCCCCTGGTGACACGAGCCAGGGGCCTGCCTGGTGGGCAAAGACCGGTTCTGCACTCTTCAGTGTCTGGCGCCTCTCGCCTCTTGTCACAAACACACACAGAGAGAACTTCCCAGCAAGGGGCTTCCACACCCGCCACACAGGTCTGAGTCCCTGGGGGGCTGTGCACCAGGCCCCTCTCTTTCCAGGGACACAGTCCAGCCCAGATGGCCTGGGAATGGCTGGCCCTCGGGCCTCCATCAGCTCCCCACAGTGGAGGCAATTATGCTTTAAGATTCTAAGGGGAACCAATGATGGAAAGAATAACACTGGCTCTTCAAAGCCAGAGGTCCCCTCAACCTTGACCACTTCCTTTCCTCCTCCTCCTCCTCCCCGGGAGCCACCCCTTTGGAGGCAGCCCAGCTCAGCTTGCTCCTTCCTGGCAGGGTCTGCCCTCCTGGACCCGAGCCAGGCCGGACTCGGAGCAGGGCTGGGCCTGGAGCCTGCAGCACCCGCCCGAGGCCCTCCGTGGGGCGGTGGGACTCCTGGCTCGCCCCAGACCCCACTCGGGCCCACCACCCACTCCTCCCAGCCCCTGGCAGGCACGTACTGACCAGGTCTCCCCTTCTCCCCAGCTGTCCTCCTGAGCCTCCAGCCCGGCAGCAGGGCTGGGGGTGGGGAGAGGTGTCTTATAGCAGCCGGGAGAGGCACAGGGAACTAAAAATACAGTTCCCCAGAAGACTCCTCCTCTCCCTGGAGGCCCCGAGGGGCTTATTGGAGGGGGGCTGGTGGGGACACAGGATCCCAATAATATTCTGGTTAACAGGTGTAGCCTGGGGACACTGCCTCCCGCCACCCCCCCTTTTCCTCCCAGCCTTGGAATGGTTCCTCCAGCTCCACCTTGCACCTGTCACCTGGATGGGGCCCAGCCCCACCTCCACAGCGCCCCCATGTCCCCTCTCCCTCCCTTCCTGGCCCGTTCCAGCTCCCCTTCCTGGAATCTGCCCCTGCCCCCACCTCCACCCCCTTCCCAGCAGGTGTCCCCGCTTCCCCCTCTGGGCTCCAACACAGGTGCAATCTTCTGGCCTTTCTCTGCTTTGGGGTGCAGCCCCCCAGTGCCACCCTGTGAGCCTCCTTAGAAGCAGAAATGAAAAGGCCACAGACACCCACGGCATTCACTGCACCCCAGGGGCACTGCCCTTCCTAGCAGCCCCTTTCGATAGACATTTTTAGAAGCCCCATGGGACACAGGAGGAGAATGAGTCACAGAGAGGTTAAGTAACTTGCCGGATGTCCCACAGCTAGGAAATGCCTCACCTGAAATTCGAACCCAGGCAGAGTTTGTGCTTCACTACTAGAAACTGGTCTAACTTAGGGATCCTTCCTCTTCCGCCTCTCATTTTTATGACCGCAGCCAGCAAAGGGCAGAGTCAGCAAGCTCTCTGAATGCTTATTCTGAACTGAGTGGTCC